CAGCAAAGTTGCGGGTGACGGCGATGTCAGGGAAAATGCTAAGAACCTCTCTCTGGTATTGATGGGAACTATAGTCTTTTCATAAAATGTGCCATTTGTCACTAAACCTGTCTCATAACCTTTGAGCCCCTCCCACTTACAAGTTTAAAATGAAAACTGCTTCCATGTAATACACAAGACATTGCAAAGAATTCTTCACGTCCCAGTTTCTTGAGTGGACAGTCCAGAATCTGGGGAGACTTTATTGTGCAGTAACCCTCTTCTCTCTTCCATAGGCCACCACATAAGTTTACATCAAGATGGAACCCTTTAACTGGGAAAATTTCAGTTTAGAAGATCTCTTCGATGGAGATTTCGGTAATTACACTTACAGCTCTGACCTGCCCTCTGTTGCAGAGGATTATGCCCCATGCCACCCAGAATCCCTGGAAATCAACAAATACATTGTGGTCGTCATCTACGCTGTGGTGTTCCTGCTGAGTGTGCTGGGAAACTCCCTGGTGATGCTGGTCGTCTTATACAGCAGGGCCAGCTGCTCTGTCACTGATGTCTACCTGCTGAACCTGGCCATTGCCGACCTGCTCTTTGCCCTGACCATGCCCATCTGGGCTGCCTCCAAGGCAAACGGCTGGATTTTTGGCACAGCCCTGTGCAAGGTGGTCTCGCTCCTGAAGGAAGTCAACTTCTACAGCGGTATCCTGCTGCTGGCCTGCATCAGCGTGGACCGCTACCTGGCCATTGTCCATGCCACACGCACACTGATTCAGAAGCGCCACTTGGTCAAGTTTGTATGTCTGGCCATGTGGGCACTGTCCATGCTCCTGTCCATGCCCATCTTTGTTTTCCGTAGGGCCATCTACCCACCCTATTCCAGCCCAGTGTGCTATGAGGACATGGGAAACAACACAGCAAAATGGCGGATGGTGCTGCGGATCCTGCCCCAGACCTTCGGCTTCATCCTGCCGCTGCTGGTCATGCTGTTCTGCTACGGATTCACCCTGCGCACTCTGTTTAAGGC